AAAGATTTCCAGTCGGGTGGATCTCAGTGTGATCTAGCTCTGCCACTCTGACTGTGGGACCTTCCTCCACGCAGAAACCCCTGGGTCTCTGTTGGTTAGTTGTAAGTGGAATTCCTCATAGTTTGCACATAGATTGGTTATGGGGAGAGAGAAACTGTCTGTGAAGTGCACAGACTGCTCGCAGGCGGGCAGTGAGCCTGTTACTCACTTCTAAGAGGCCAGGCCATGCACAGACTTCCATGACCAACTTTTGAGCTCATGTTAGCCTCCATCAAGCTCATCATTTGGGGTGAGGCTGAGCAAATAGCAATGGGCTGTGTGGAGTTAAAGGGCAATTGTCCTCATGTAAGGTCATGAAGAATTTCCAGGGTGGAGGATGCAGAGCCGAAATGCAGCATCTACCCAGTGTGGGGAGCAAATGGTTGACTAGAGTTGCTTGCGAGGTTGGTGTTTAGGAGAAAGGATGAATATTCAAATTTGTCTCAGGACAGAAAAAAAGGAAAGAAAAATGCTCTGACTTGGGTGCTAGTGAGAGCTACCCGGATTGTTCACATCCTCGCTGTCAAAACCTTCCCACTAATTGTCCAGAGCTTCCCTGATTGCTTCTAATGAAACCGCCAGCCGACTTTGAAATCTCAGAGCAGTCTCATCATGCCCTGTTGAATAATAAACATCATTCAAAGGGGAAGACAGGTGAACGCATAGTACTGGGAGGGGCCAGCTCGTGCCGTAGGGAGGCCCCTCCTTTCTGTGCCCAGCAGGGATGCAGGGTGCAGGTACCTAATTTTCACTTGTCGTTAAGGTGCTTTGGCTCTGAGTTCCGACTGCCTGTCTGTCTGTTGGGTGCTGCCTCTGGAGTTCACAGATTGAGGTGTGTGTGTGTGTGTGTGTGTGTGTGTGTGTGTGTGTGTGTGCGCGCGCGCGCGCATGCGTGCACACGCACATATCCTTCCTTGGGCTCCCAGTCTCTACTAAGAAATTCGGAGGGTGGGGTTTGGAAGCCAGGCTGATCATTTAGCTCCTGGGGGTCTCAGGTTTGTTTTGTATCCCTGCTGGTGCCCAGCTCTTGCTCACTCTGCAAATAACATCCTGTCTGTCACCCCCTAGGAGGACTTTGAAGAGCCCAAGTGCCTTTTGCTCATGGCTTCACTGTAAAAAAGTTCTGGACATCTATTAGGATGATTTCTCTCCCCTCTGCTGGAGATCGTAAGAAAGGCAGGGCCGGCCCTTTGCCATCTTGCTGCCCTCGGTCCTGAAGAAGGCTATGGTGCTGAGTCCACAGGTGCTCAGAACCTACCTGTGGGAGAATGAGGAAGTCCTTGTGGAGTGGCCACTGTTAATGACTTCCTCTACCTGCCTCACAGGGTTTGTGGAAGGGTCAAATGATAGCAGCTGTGAAAGTAATTTGAAAAAGTAAAAAGAAATATGCCAAATGTAAGCTATTAACGTAGCACTCCTGTGGGAGATGGAGGACATTCCTTTGCCAAAATGTCTCAGTGGCCTTGAGGTAAGCCTGGCAGACACTGGACACCGTCCAGGTATCTCACTTCCATTGTCACTGGGTTTTTCACATGGGGCCTGAGACTGCAGAGCAGCTTAGCTCAGTTTTGTTTTCATTTCTTCCATACCTGCCACTGCATGCCAGGTGCTAGGAGGCAGGGCTGCCCCAATGTAGCCTCTGTCCCCAGCCTCTGTCCCCAGGCCACTCACAACCCAGGAAGCAAAGCCAGAGTGCAAACCAGGAAACCAGCTGGAACAGGACAGACAAGTTTAGGTACTGAGTTTTCTGGGGAAAGAACTGATTCATTTAAGTGAGGAGATGAACACAAGACCACTTGGGAGTCAAGTCTACCCTTCCAGGAACTTGGTAGAGAGGTTTCCTAGAACCCTGTACTTCTTAACCTTGATTTTCATTATTCACATTCCCCCAACTCTTGCCTATCACAGGTAACAATTTTGTTTTTCGTGATTACCCCAACATGAAATTTTAACACCAAGGTATAGATGAGATTGTTTGTATACTGTGTCCTTTTAGAGGAGTACAAATCATTGCAATATCTGGTGTTGTTAAGCTTTCTGTTGCTATCACAAAATTCCTGAGAAAATCAACTTAAAAGAGGAAAGGTTTATTTTTGGCTCACATTTTCAGAGGTTTCAGTCCATGGTTGGCTGGCTCCATTGCTTTTAGGCCTGTGATGAGACAGAAGAACATCATGGCAGACAGAGGTGATGGAGGAAAGCTGCTCAACTCATGGCATCCAGGAAGCACAGAGAAGGCTAGAGAGGAAGGGACTGAGGACAGATATAAAGCCCAAGGTCATGCACCTCTGAGCCACTCCACTTAACTAGGTCCCACCTTCCATTTTCATCATGTTCCAATAATGCCACCAAACTAATCCATTGATGAGATTAGAGCCCAAATAAGTCAAACACCTTCCAAAAGCTCATCAGCAACAAAGCCTTCAACACAATGGGTCTTTTGAGGGGACATAGTAGACCCCAACAATAGCCACAGCTAAGTTATTTATTTACTTATTTATTTATTTTTACCAGAATTTGCCTTGTTGGGTGCTACTGCCTCTACTGTAAATGCATGCTCCAACCACATGCCTTTCTGCCTCCCAACCAATTCCAATGACCTCAGACAAATTCTCCTACAGGTCAGATGGTCTTTCCTTGTCTTCTGTTGATCATTACCAAACATCCAGCCCTGAGACAGATATGGGCCAGAATTCAGCATTCCAAGGGGGCCGCCCAGGGGCTGATGGCTCCCAGAGTGTTCCTGATTCTTTACCATTGTTTTCTCACTGGGGAATTTGGTATGTTTTATCCATCATCAGGGTCCCTCCCTCCCCACAGTCCTTCTCTTGAGCCTGACAGAATCCTATTCTCAGCAAAATGATGTGACTTCCTCTGCAGGACATCATTAGGGGTGTGACTCTATTTTGGCTTGTGTCTAGATGTGCCCCCAAAGCCTCATGCAGTTGTAGGTGGGGCTTTTTCGGAGGTGGTTGAATCTAGAGTGTGTGATTGCTTCATGGTGCAGTGTTAGGCTCAAGGGCACTAGGAGGATTAAGGGTGTGAGTGCTACCCACCCTAAGTAGCCTGGATAAGGCAAAAGGGGCAGGAAGACCCTGTTAAAATTCCTTTGTTGTTTTGGTACCTCCTACTGGCCGCCATGAACTGTTCTCTCTGCTATGTGCCATACTCCCTTACAGCCAGCTGATTGTTGGCTGAAACCGTTACAAACTTCCAGCTAAATAAACCTTTTCTCTTTTAACTTTGGGTGTTGGTGTCAGCAAGGAAAGAAAGGTAACACAGACTCCATCATCTCATCTTTGGCTCTTGGCTTCCTGTTGCCATTTCCTATTTCAGCCCAGGCTGCCCAGTTGGAGGCCACTTTCCCTGGGCTGACGTTACGCCAGGCTATGCGTTTCCTCTGTGTGGCTCTGGTCTCCACACTGTTAGCCTCCTGAAGACAGGAACTGCTTTTGTTTTGTTTTATTTTTTATCAATTTCTCTCTTCTTAAACCGGTGTTTAATAGATACTCACTGGCTGCTTGATATTTTTTCTTTCTCTGTATAACTAGGGACAGAAGGATAGTTCCCTTTATAAATCTTCCCACTGAGGACAAGGCACTGAGCAAGGACTTCAAAGTGTTAGCCAAATGAATTGGATGGAGGGGCGTTTCTGTCTGTTTGTACAATTTAAGTAATGCAACTCACTCAGACCCCCGACATCCCTGAGCTTCACCTCAAGAGCCAGTTGGCCCCAATTCATCACAGAATTTTTTTGAGCTCACAGTTTTTGGGGGAGCTGAGCAAGACACCTGACAGGGGTCACCTTCTGTCAAGGGACAGGTTTATTTCTGCAGGGAGAACCATGGTTGGCAATCACAAAATTCTGTTCCTCTGAAAAACCAATTGCGAGAAGAAAAGCATGTTAGGTTCCTTCCTGGGTCCTTCTCTACATTTCCTTTTGGAGCTCTTCCCTAGAGCAGCCTCTGGTTGGGTTGGATTAGCAAGACATTTAGACATTCTGCTTTGTAAATTACTGGAGAAATTATATCCCTGTCATATTTGAACACTCTGAAATAGGAAAGAATTACTTTATTTGGTGTTCCCCCTCCCTCCTCCTAAATGTTTGAAGCTAATAAAATGTTTTCAAGCAATTTCTTGCCACTAGATTTGGTGAAACTTACTTCAGGTGTCTTTCCAGAACCTTTCGTAGAAAAGTAATTGTGTAATTAGCTATAAATTAGTAAAAATTATGCTAATTACTTCCAGGTGTGACATATTTTGTGCTTAAAAACAAGTAAAAGAAATAAAGGGGCTGTCACTGTGTTTCTCTGGTGAAGGTTGGCCCAGGAGGCTTGACAGGCTGATGTGCACATTTACTTAATATTATTTTTTTAATTATGTAATTTCTGAATAAGTACAAACAGACCCAGGAACAAAAGTACAACAGACAGAACCCAGGGGTGCTTCTTTTTGTGTGTATGCTTAATTAAAAGGACCCTAAGGAGGAGCATTTCAGTACATTTCAAACTTTTAATGAGGCTGCTGGAGGGGCTGGGCTGGGGGGTGTTGATGTCAGAGAGATCTCCAAGCTCCATGGCCTCTTGGTCAGAAGAGGCCCCCTGGTCTCGAGGGATTTGGCCCCTTGTAGTGACCTCCTCAGCCTTCAGCTTGGCATTGTCTCTGGTGTTCTTTCCCAGATAGCTCTTTGCTCGGCTTTTCTTGTCTCTTTCTCTCTCACCATGATCCTGGCAAGTATGTGGGGCAGGTATTCTGGGCTTCATAGCACGTATACAGTTGGGCATTGTTTAATGCCAGGGTATGTTCTCAGAAATATGTCTAAGGTGATTTGGTGGTTGTTGGGCAGGCCCTGTAGAGTGTACTTACATAAACCAAGATGGTTATGAAGCCATAGGCAATAGAATCTCATGGGGCCATGTTTATATGTGGTCTGTCATTGAACAAAACATTATCATGTGGTACACAACTGGATAGGAATATTTGAAGGACCATGTTCTCCTGGGATGGAGTGAGAAAAAAAGGGAAGGTAGAATATCTTCTTTTTCTCTCTCCCTTTTTTCTCCTTCTCTCCCTTCCTTCTTCTTCCTTTTTAAATCCATTTGACAATGATTGGCACTCTCTGCACCCACTAGCAATGATGGTAAGGTGCGAACCAATGTACCGATCTGTATGTCGGTCAGATACATTGTGTCCTGTGGTAGGTGCTGGGTGCACAGCAGCCAATTTCACATCACAGATCACTCAAGAAGGGCTGGCCCAGAGGAAATAATTTGATGTAGTATGAGGAATACTCTAATGAGGCTTGAGTTTTCTGAGGAGAGTCCTATTTTCACTTTGTCTCACTGTCTTTCTATAAGTATATTTGTGTTCATGAAACACTGTGTCCTGAACTCAGTCCTTGGATCATACAGGAGCCACAGCAGGGTGAGGGTCAGCTCAGAGAACTACATTTGAGAGGGGTCTCCAAGGGTGGGTGGAGATATTCCAGACAGAACAGGAGTGGGAGGGTCGTTTACTGGAGGTGATGCCTGAGGAGGTCTTGAGGGCTTACTAGGAACTCAGCAGGGATTCCTGGAAGAAGAGTTCATGGCAGGGGACAGCACAGATGAAAATACAAAGATACCAAGCAAGGGAATGTATTTTGGGGGGTTGGAAATAGTTCAGTGTCACTGGAATATTAAAAGTGAGGAGTGTCTGGGTAGGAAGTGGGGCCAAAGGACCACTGTGAAGTTCAGGCATTGTGTGTGTGTGTGTGTGTGTGTGTGTGTGTGTGTGTGTGTGT